TATAATATTAGTAAGTTTATTATATTGTACATCATAGTTGAGTATTAGTAACTTGAATTGCTTGGATTAACAATTAATTATTCAACTCTGTTCCTTTCATCCTTTGTACTATTTTTAGACACAGTAGCCTTCCCATATTTAGATGTATTATTTTTAGACTTTATAAGGTTATGAATATTGTTACCTTGTTTACTGTTATTCTCAGCTCCTTGATACTATTGCATCATCAAAACCACAAGTTTATCTAGTGCAGGAGTCATATGATGCATGTCTGTGAATAATAATTATTATAGTATGACATCCTAATGTACACTGTATAGTGTACAGGAGATTGCATTATCCAGTAAAATTGGAAATCTGCCTTACCTTCCTTTTTTTATAAGGGAGTAACAGCTACTTAGTTGCTACTCTCAATAATAAATCACCCACTTAACAAAATAAGCATTTAAAAACTCTTTTTGCAAGGATTATGCAATCTCCTATATACATGTATGTGTAATTGCTAATTTGGCTAAACTTGAGTAATAATGAAGTACATGGGGATATAGCACAGCGCTGATAATACCAATGGTCATATGACATACTTTCCCATAATATACTGTGCTATGTGAATGTCAGTGTGAATAGTGAATGCAAACTATGCTGGAGCTGAATGCTTGGTACATGAACACCATGTACTTTTGATGTAATGGTTACAGCTAGTCTAGTGGTGACATGGTTCAATTGCATGACTTGTTTATAGTGTAATCTGATATACCACTGTGTTATTATATTTACTTTTTATAGGTGTACAAATAATTCAAAATTTATCAATTTCTTCCTGTGAAGGAGGATATTTTGAAATAAACGCAGTCCTGTTGCCCGGAGCAACGGGTATTGTCATGAGAGTATTTGATTCTCAAAAGAACCTCCTTTCATTTCCACAAGAAATAAAGTGTGATGATGAAGGCTTAATCGTCGCTAATAGTTCAGGAAAACTTGAACCAGGCAATTACACTGTTGAAATAGCCTATTTCAATGGAGATGGAACTATTGATAACTCATCTACAAGTTACCGGTACTTTAATCTCAGTTGTAGTACAGATGATATATTAAGTACTACTCCTCCTCCTACTACTACTACTAATAGTAAGATATGTGATTATTGCATTGTACATTTGACTACTTTTTTTATAGTTCCATTGACTTCGATAGTAATAGTGTGTGTTATAGCAGCAATAGTAGCAACTATTGTCATTTTTGTAGTAATAATAGTATTAATAAAGATAAAGTCTAAAAAAAGTGAGTGGCTGATGTTTTTAATGAGGTTTTATTATTATTATTATTATTATTAAGGTAAATACACTGTAAGTGACAAAGGAGTTACATACTCTGCTAAGGATGTGACTATTGTAATTGAAGATTCAGAGCAGCAAAAAAGGTACAAGTATATTTATAATAATGATGTTCTGTTTTGTGTTTCTTTCCTTTTAGTAAAACTGAAGGGGATATACCAGCACCTCACTCTGTACCTGTAGTTGATACAGAATCACATTCTGAGTATGTACAAAATGTCCACTCGTTTGATTTTAACTTACTTTAATAATTATAGGAGCCAACCCCATCCTCCTCGAAATTATCCTAAACCTGAAAATCTCCCAGCTCCTAACACACCGACTAATACAGATGCATCTACTAAACCATTAATTGGTAATGGTGGTGGAAGCACTATGCT